ATCTGCAGGGACTCCTATTAGTGAATATGCAAACATCTATGCCATCTTTTAGGTTTCAGATAACCTTTCTTAGGTTATCTACTTTTTTCAGTAAACTTAGTTTGGATAGTTATAATTTGAGGAGCAAGTCATAAGTTCTTTGTGAAAATTGGTAGCATTGTGGGCTGAGCCATTTACCAATATCCCTCTCTCAGAAGGCAATCTGGTGCTATTAAAATCTCTACCACCTTCCTCACCCCCAGTATCTTATTTGGTCTGTCTCACTTTTGCCTTTTTTCCAGTCAGATGGAAACATTCACAGTCACAGTCCCTTTTCAGTTTCTGACTGTGTCTCTGGGCATTCTAATAAAGAAGGATCATGCTAGAGGCTGGAGCTCTACTTCTCAAGTGGGAACTTTAGTGCCTGTTTACACATATTCACTACCTTTGTTTGATAATGTTTGTTTAAGTCTTTTTCCTAAGTTTTTCTTTCTGCCTTAATGTTACTTTATGAGTTTTCAGAAGAAAGTGTTTTGTGTGACTTTAAAGTGTTAATAGGGGAGCTATTTTAGTCGTAAATATTAAAAATGAAATAAAATTCTCAATAAATTCAATAAATCCCACTTTCAACAGAAATGGATCACAATGCTGCCTTTATTTATTATGAGGATGACATAACTCAGCTATACTCTTAATGTATTTACTAAAAAAAGATGACTCTGAACACTTCCCCCCACCCTCCCTCCCCAAAAATGAAACATTTGGCATATTTGCAGCGATTCTAAGATGACCCCTGCGTATTAAATAAAAAAAATATTTGACAAAGCAAGAAGTCTTTCTTTCTGATAAATATAGTGTTGAAAGAAAAGTCTTCATCCTGGTTCATCCAAGCCAGGGATAAATAAACAACGTGGCGACTGCTTTAGAAAGAAGGTTGCAGTTTATTGAAGGGCCAGACCGAAAGATGGTTCTTGCAGGAAAGAGGAGAGAAAAAGAAGGCCGAGCACATGTGGGAAGTAGGTTTTTATAACCTCTGAAGCCTTTTGTTTGGAATAGTTTCCTGTTCCTGTTTTAGGCTTTGTATTTCCTGTGTCACGTATTCTGACCTGCTTCCCTGGTGATGGGGCTAATGACTCCTAGAGTTTGGGTGGGGTATGCAGATTTTAGGTGTCTTTGTCTTCTTTATCTCCTAGCTGGGACCTTTCTGATGGTTTACATCTGCATTTGTACAGGGCTGGCTTCTGCTTGGGACAGAGTTGGTTTCTGCTTTTAAAAATCCTTTTGAGGAAATATATTTTTCTGCCCTTTTAATATTTCCTTCTCTAGGGAGCTGACTTCCCTCAATAGTAAACCTTCTAGGTCTCATATTATCCATAGTTACTGATCCTGAGTTGAAGTAACAGTAAAAGCTACACAGGTTCAAGCCTTAGTCAGTTTTTTTCACCAAGTGAGTTGAATATTGCATTTTGAGTAAGATTCCTCAGAGGAGAAACAGTGGCAGATTTCATGGTTGTAGAAGGAAAGCCAAGCACCAGCAACTGCATAGGTCTATCTACCATATATACAAATTTGTCTTGAATTTTTTTTTAGAATTTTTTAGAACTGCCTGCTTCCTCTCGTTCTCTTTTTATCTCAGGTTCATTATGCCCATTCTTCCAGCTTTGTCACTTCTGCCACATCCTCTGATTCATTCCAATATTGTCTTTTTCAGATGCACTACGTGATTGACGCAATTGGCACAACGCTTCCTCCCCAGAGCGAACATTGGCAACAAGCATAGATTTTTCAGGAGACAAATCCATTCATGTCCTTAGAAGGTAAATGTAATCGTCATTATGCCATTTTCTTCCCCTTATTGACCCCAGCTCAGATGCTTAGTTGTTAATGATGTACTCATCTGCCAATTCCTGCTTTTTGTCAAGAGGATGAAAGAAGCTTGCTCCTTAGATTTAGATCTAGGTTTTTGCCCTCTGTAGGCTGCACTACATGCTGAGTGCATTACAAATGTAGTTTGTAGGAAAGAAAGAAGCTTATTAACATACCACTTGAGCTAGTCTTTGTCAGTATGCAAATACTTGGTTTGATTCAGAAAAAAAAGAAAGTATCTCAATCCATTCCTAAAATGAGTTCTAGATATTGTTGGCATCTGGGTTGAACAAGCCAGTCCATATTACTGAATAAAAGATACTTCAATAGGTTAGGTTCTTTGGACAAGTCCTTGTAGTTCACTGTGGATGCACATATGGCGACGGATGCTTTTGAATGGAAAATTTAATGTACATTCAAGCCAGTTTATATCATACATTGTTTGCATGCTTTCGGAGGGAGAAGATGCCCATGTCTGATGGTCATTTGTGCAACAATGATTTGGCATGTCTGTTTTTATGGCAAATTGTGCTGAATCTTCAGTGAATAACTATAGATAGTCAGTGGTTTTTGTGAAAGTAAAAGGCAAGGCTCCAAGCTGACAGCAATCTAGTCTCTATTATCCTTAAGACTGCATATATTGTCTTAAATCTCTTAATATATCTCCTAATTAAGAGGCTATAGAATAGCTATTTATGCCTTGCATCAACAAGCTGGCAACAGCTCTAACTTTTCAAATCACTGGTTCTAAAAAAAGGAAGAGACACAGTCATAGTCTGAAGTGAATAAAGGAAAGTTCACTCTGAAAATATAGGCTACAGTGTCTTCCTTCATCATCACCGCTTCATTGTTATGGTTGTGAGATCTTTTCCAAGCAGGAACATAACTCCTGAGCAAAGATAGCAGTAAATGGGTCAGAACGGCAAAAGTCATGATAGACATTTCTATGGACTGTCAAAACTATGGTTCAATGACATGCTAAGCCTACGGCTCAAACTTTGGGAGATGGGCCAATGATCCAAAGTGTCTTCAAACCAAAGCCTTTCTTGAGGAAGAAACAATTTGATTCATGCCAGCTGATAACAATCTGTGTATGCCATCTGTCTTGTAAATTTTCAGGATTCTTTTTTTTCCACCATGTATATCTATACATTCGAATTAGACTGTGATGTTTCTCTGTGTCATATATGTGTGTGTGTGTATGCATATATGCATAATGGTATTTTTTGGAGATCTGAATGCAACAAATTTTCATTTTAATGTATGATTAGTGTACATTTAAAGTGACAGTAAAGTTTCTATTCTATTCTGCTCTGCTCTGCTCTGCTCTGCTCTGCCCTGCCCTGCCCTGCCCCGCCCTACCCTACCCTACCCTACCCTACCCTACCTTACCCTACCCTACCCTACCCTACCCTACCCTACCCTATACATTACATTACATTACATTACATACTGGGTTTCCTATTTTCTCTTGTTGCTACACAATACAGAGAACTCAAATTCTAATGGAATTGATATTGATATTGAATAAGGACATCAGAATAGTTGATGTCTGGTTGACTGGTTGTTAACTACAAAAAACTGGCAACGTGATCTTAAAGCATTTAACATTGTTCATCTGCATGGAATAACATCTCTGTATTTTTATAGTTATTTTATTTCTGCACTATTTTTTTTTCAAAAGAGGCTTAGATACGTAAGCTTCACTGCTTCTGCAAATGTCATCTGCTCTTGCTTTCTGCTCTTTCCTTGAGAAAGCACTGCAATGTGGAATCAGAGTGGACATTTCATCCATTTCCATTGATTCTTGCCACATACTTTCTAGTTTTTAGTTCATGCAAATGTCCAATTTCCCCTGTCACCTGATGCCACAAAAATCCATTCCCCTTATGTGCAATTTATGGAGAGAGGGTTAATGATCTAATTTCATCAGCCACAAAGTTGAGGCATTTCAACATATGTTATGTCATTTTCTAAATTTTCCCAGGCAGAGTATATTAACTTTCTAATTATAATAGTTATTTTCTTTAGGGACTGGTCTCACTGCAAATGATTGAAGCAGGCAGCATCTCATTGTAGACTATAATTTTGATTTGTTCTGTTCTGAAGTTTGTCCTTGGAAGTTTGTCCTCATTTAAAGCAGTAGAACACAGAATATAGAACATAGAATTATAGGAGTGGAAGGAACCTCAGAAGTCTTCTAGTCCAGCCCCCTGCTCAAAACAGGAGTCCTTATACCATTCCAGTCAAATGGTTGTCCAGTCTATTTTTGAAAACCTCCAGTGATGGAGCACCCACAACTCCGTAGGGAGGGGGAGCTATTTCATTGAGCAACTATTCTCAATGTCAGAAAATTTCTCCTTCCTTCTAGGTTGGATTTCTCTTTAACAAGCTTCCACCCATTTAGTAGAAGCGGCCTATTTAAATATTTATTTTTAATCATTTTCTTAAATTTTGTATTGTATTGTATTAGTTGTTTTTAAACTGGCTGTAAGCCGCCCTGAGTCCTCCAGGAGAAGGGCGGGGTATAAATATAATAAAATTCAAAAAAATTCAAAAATTCACCCTTTACCTCTTGTCCTGCCATCTTGGAGAATAAGTCAATCCCCTCTTCTCTGTGACAGCCCCTCAAATACTGGAAGACAGTTATCATGTCCCCCCTAATCCTTCTGTTCAATAAGCTAGACATACCTCCCTCCCTCATCCATTCATCACAATATTTCACTTCTGTATCAGTTGTGTCCTTTCCAAGTCATCTTCATTTGTGCAACCTCAGAAAAAGAACAAAATATGTATTGAGTCATAGGGAATCACCATCCATTTTTTCTGAATTGTCTTTGGTTTATGTCTCGCTATTTTTTCTGACTTGATCTGAAGTAAGACAGAGAGAAGAATGGCTATTGATATGGAAAGATTTAACTTGAAAGTTGTGGTGCAGATAATTATGTTTTTTCCTGCAAATTCATGAACACGGTTAAAAGAATCTAACTAATATGAATTATGCTATTAATAGATGTACAGGCATACTAGCCTGGTTTATTAATACATAAGCCATAGTGTGCTTTGTCTGGCGTATGGATAAGAAAATTAAAATATGTTATGAGATATTTGACCTGTCTTTCACATTTTCAGTAGCCTGTTCTGATTTTTCCAGCATGACAGAGGTAATGAATACACGTGAACCTGTGATGGAGGAATTTATCTTGAGCCAACCTGAGGAAGAAGGAGGCACTTCCACTCAGGTAAGTGTATGTATGCAAATTGTATACAAAGCTACAGTCAGACAAGGTCACATCTTCAAAGTCTGTCAGAATAATTTAGCTTCTTAGAATAAGCTAGAGTGAGACACCACAAGATCATAGTATATACAAATTGAAATCCACTGTGTGTTTTAATCTGAAGTGCAAGAAGGATTATGAGCTAGGTTTTGTTATGACTGTCATTTTGGTGAAGCTTGGAGCTAAATTCCTTTTGAATATAATAGAAGGTGGCAGTATTTCATAAAACACAGTACTATCGAAGTTGCTCACCGAAACCTATTTTACAGGTTTTACATCAGTGAATCAAGTGACAGATTTTAAAAAGTAGATTTAAGATCAAGGTGCTAGACAGACAACATCTGGAATGTAGAAATCCATGAACAACTACAGTGGTTTTGGAAAAATCACTGGAAAATGGTGATACCGGTACATACCAATCATATAAGATTGCCTTTTTGATCACCTATCTCTATCTCTCTATATAAGTGATGGGTAACCTTACAGTACTTCATTTTTTTGGATGACTTATAGATGATAGGGTGCTGATACAAGGTGGGTGAGACTATATTGCATATGTGAGCAGGATCAGGCTGTTCTGATTTTCCCTATTTAGGAGAGGATGCTGTGTTTCCAACCTTAAAGTGGCAGAAAATTTAAATGCAACGTTTGACAATAAAAGAGCTTCCTTATTTACATTAAATGTAGCGCTCAGTATGGAAATACTGATCTCCTTTTGACTAAATGCCATGCTCCTATATGCAATTTGGAACCTTAGATAAAAGTTCCCATAGATTCAAGATCCATTCTAAGGTTCTAAGACAGATTTTCCAGCAGAATATAATTTTGAGTGAAGAAATTAGACCCACTGCATCATATACCACATTTAAAACAAGTATTCACACCGTGTAGCCTTAATTAAGGTAATAATGAGGGAAATGATAGGCTATAATGAACATAACATACAGTGTTATTTTTCCAACTCAGCTCAGAGGCTGCTGGGGTGACATCCTGTTTTTGTTCAGTCTAATGAAAATAAGGCAATCCACTTTTGCACTGTATTTTCCTAATTTGTTTATATGTGACCTTTCCAAACCAAATTTTCACAGAGTAGCTTACAATACACTGAAATCAAAAAAATAAAATTGTGAATAGTTAAAATACTGTACATAGAAGTAAATGTAATTAAAATGCACACTAGTGTGCATTGTCTCAACTGTCTATCAATTTGAGATTTCATATTTACAATGATTTATAATAACTTAGCACTTTGCCACAATTACTGTATTTCAGAGTAATGTTTTGCACAGTTTGTTTTTTGAGAGATGGCTTTTTGTTATAAATATGTATCTTTAGGGATAGCCTTGGGCAGGATCAGTTGTTACGTAAGTCTAGCCTATTTCCTGCTATAGTTCTAAAATACCCATTCAGGACATTTGAAATTGGATAGCTTATATAACAAATTTAGCTTTTTGTGGAATTTTTATGATTTAATGGAAAAAATGTGGGGAGATATTGAAAATTGACAAATAAAAGAGGACATCTGGATTCCTCCCTGCATACAAATGGGATAAGTTCACTGTATAAGAAAAGTACAATCTAGAAGTACCCATAATTTGAGAATCTCCCTAAGTTTTGTGGATTTTCTTTGCAAGTTCTAATCTAGTGTATGTCTGATGCATTATCTAATTGTCTAATCTAATCATTATACATGCAATGTATAAGATGATAAAGATGAGGATTTGATAAAAGGCAAATAATAAGTTGAAAGAAAGATATGGCAGGGGATCAGCTTGGCCATTTTTATTGGAAAATAGGGAGATCTGCCTTGGGCAACTACTACTGATAAGAAATATCTTATATTGATTAATGTATATCATAGCATTGATAACAATTCCACATCTCCATACATGTTACTGCTTGCCAGTAAGCATGAAGACCTTCAGCTCCTCATCAACAGAGTTACAGAAATATCTGAAAAATACGGCTTGAAGCTTAACACCTCAAAAACCAAGATCATGGTCGTCAGCAAACAACCCGTTAATTTACCATCAATAAATTCAGAAGGAATACCACTAGAAAAAGTTGAAAGGATCACGCACCTCGGTTCCAATTTACATGAAAGCTGGGACTTTACATGAAAGTAAAGACAAGGATAGAAAAAGCCCAAACAGCATTCTTCAAAATGAAAAAGGTCTTCTGCAGTCACGACATAAGCCTAAGACTGAAAATCAGGCTTGTCAGATGCTACATTTTGTCTATCCTGCTCTATGGAGTAGAGAGTTGGTCTCTGACAGAAGGCCACCTGAAGAGACTAGAAGCATTTGAAATGTGGATCTACAGGCAGCTGTTATGTATAAGCTGGGTTGACAAGATCAGAAATGAGGAGGTGATAAGCCACCTGGGAAAGCCAAGGGAAATCATCAAAACAATTAAAAAACGAAAAATAAAATATTTCGGACATGTGATGCGACACCCAGAAAAATACAGCATACTCCATTTAATCCTCCAGGGAAAGATTGAAGGCAAACGAGGTCCAGGCAGAAGAAGAACATCGTGGCTTCAAAATCTAAGGGATTGGTTTGGACAAAACTCAGCAGCACTTTTTTGTGCGGCTGCTGATAAAAACAGGATCGCCAACATGATCGCCAACGTCCGATAACGGATATGGCACAAGAATAATAATAATATATGTTACATGAATTCTTTTTTACTTTTTTCTATATGCATATTTGTTAAAGTAAATGTCAGAAATCAGAGTATTGTTGACATTTACTGCTAATTCCATGGAGATCTACTAGGAAGCTTAGAGCAAACATTTATCCTTTCATTGCATGCTAAATATCCTATAGTAGTAAGCGATAGTAATGAAGATGCATTTGATGAAAACAATCGGAAGGTTTTGAGATTTACATTTCTTGACATTTCCTTAAGTTGTTTTTTTTTTTAAAAAAAACCTCAGCAATTACCAGTAAATCTAAATATCTAATACTTCCAACAATGGATATATATATATTGATAGGTGTATTATCTTTACAACTTTTCTCATTAAGTATAAGAGGACATAGAGGTATCATGCAATCCTTAAAAATAACACCAGGCTAATCTGAATAGTTCTTTCAATTTCTCATTTTCCCCATCCTAAATTATTTTCTACATTAGTTGGTAGATTTGGCAAAAAACAAAACAAGTACATGAAAATCCATACCTATTTCCTTGTATGTTTTTCCTAATATACATATTTTTGTCTAAGGGTTTTCTTCCATATTGTATTTCATTCTTAAAATACTTTGTTTCTGTTCATTCTTCCTCAGTTTACATATTTTACATGCATTCCTATTGAAGAATAATTATTAAGAATTTCAGTCACTGCTCTGAATCTGGTGGTTAGACTCCACATATTCACACTGGCATGAATCTAAAAAGTGCTTGATAATTGTTAAAATGCAGTGAATGAGGCACCCTCTGTGCACATTAATCCACCTCTAGAAGATTGAGGGCAATAGAAGAAGGGGACGACAAGAGAATGAGATGGCTGGATGGAGTCACTGAAGCAGTAGGCATGAGCTTAAATGGACTCCAGAAGATGGTAGAGGACAGGAAGACCTGGAGGAACTTTGTCCATGGGGTCGCGATGGGTCGGACACGACTTCATAACTAACAACAACAACAACCTTAGAATTAGTCTGCTGTATACCAGTCTGAACTGAATTACTCGGGGATATACTGATCAATAGCATGTCTCCAGACAGAGATATCCACAGTCATGATGATACCAAAATAAGGAAACATATGATCTTACTGTATGTCCAAATGCCATCCAACTTCTTAGGTACTTGTAGCCAATGTTGCTACTCAAGGGGCAAAGTTTGCATGTTAATGTTATAACACCTATTTGATCACTTGTCCTTCCATTTGTAGTTACTTCAAGGGCTCATTTATACTTCTTTCCTATCTATGTATTATAAATTCTGCCACTTCCCAGTATTAGAAGCCATGGTGGCACAGTGATTAGAATGCAGTATTGAAGGCTAATTCTGCTGGCTGCCAGCAGTTCAATTCTCATCAGCTCAAGGTTGATTCAGCCTTCCATCCTTCTGAGGTCAGTAAAATGAGGACCCAGATTGTTGAGGGCAATACGTTGACTCTATAAAACCCTTAGAGATGGCTGTAAAGCACTATGAAGTGATATATAAGTTTAAGTGCTATTGCTATTAGCTGAGTGGGGTTGAGCTGTGATGTTTGAACTGCTGATAGACGTGAACAATAACTGAAGGTCCACAAGCTCACCATCCCAGGGTTAAAACAAAATACCTATCAGCCCTGTCTCGATTTGAACCTTAGGCAAGAATGATCCATGACTCCATTTTTGAGAGTAAGTCTTTTAGTAAGTCTTACTAAAGTCAAGTGAAGTACAGTAAAGCAAAGCCAGGTCTGAGGTTCCCTGGCCAATTCGCTCATGAAAACCCCTTGTTTCCCACATCTGCCTCCCTTTGGACCCCTTTTGCCCTACCATATTCAAACCAGATGTTTTCGGAATGGTCATCCTTGGAATTCATCTGCATTCTTCTTCCTGGCCAGGTGTCCTTGAGGTGTTGTCTCTGGCTGGTACAAAGCAGTTTGGAAAGTCCCCCACTTCCCCCCTCCCAAGGATTTCCCTCCACCTCCCCACCTCCCAGTGTTTATGGCAGGCTGGCACTGAACAAGTTGAAAGCAGGAGCGAAGTGGCAGATCTGACAATGCCTAAGCATAGACCAGGGGTAGGCAACCTCGACTCTTTTATGACTCGTGGACTTCAACTCCCAGAATTCCTGAGTCAGCTATGCTGACAGAATTCTGGGAGTTGAAGTCCACGAGTCATAAAAGAGTCGAGGTTGCCTACCCCTGGCATAGACTATATGGTTAACATTTGTTTATTTTTAATTAAAATAATTTTAAATATTTTTTGAAAATATATTTAATTAATTGAAAACCCATGCATACTTAGAAACTATGCTTCTCTATTGCACGTATTTATGGAGTCTGTTCTGACTGGCAGTTGGTTCTGTTTCTTTCTCTAGCTGGCATCTAGCCTTTTAAAATCTTCCATATAAGGGGACTGAAACCAAATCTGGAGTCATTTATATGAAGATTGATCTGATGAAGCTTGTATTAAAAAAATTATCCTGTTCTAAATAACCATGCTCTTTACTATTTGCGGTATAATTGCCCTCATGGTTTCATAACAATTGTCATTGTTGCTATGAGTTGAGGCTGTCAACTGCATTCATGCCAGATGATTAAATATTGGATATTTGTATTACACGAATATTAATCATCAAACTGAAGAATGTAAATAGCAATATGTCACAGTAAATTACCATTGTCCATTTATAGCAATGTCAATAAAGTACAAAAGGTGGGAGGCAAAGATTCTTGGTTTGCCAGGACAAATCCTACACTATTTCTTATTTCTGTTGCCCAATGGAATTGTATCAGGCTGGTAAATATTTGAGCTAAGAGACCACAGCAGAAGGCAATGGGCTTTGAAGGCCAAACTTCTTGTTTTTTAGGGTAGTACCAAGAAATCCATCTGTCTGTCGACCTTCTAATTTTGTCAGTTTCAAATATTCCAACATGTTTTTCCCTGGGCTAAAGGGAAGAAGCGTTCCTTGGTTTGACAGAAAACAACCTTTTACTTGAATTCACCATCAAAATATTGCTTACCTTAACCAGTTCAGACTGGTTAAGATAACCAGTTTAAGGTGAGGTTTTCTGACAAACTGGGATAAATTGCACGGTAAGAATTCTTTCAGCAACCATTCCTTTCTGTCTTTTGAGTATAAAATGGAAAATGCAAGTTTGCAAGAAGCCCAAAACAGATTATGAAGGGCACAGCCACCATCACCACCACCAATGGAGAACTGATAGATAACAGGATGCCACTAAAAATAAAATCACTCATTTGTAATATGGACATATCCATTTCCTTTAGGTTAGCTTTCCTGGTTTGTGAAAGTTTGTGTTGCAAGATTGTACTAATTATTGCTATGGGATCTGATATTTTTTTCCTTTTTATAATCTTTAATGGTATTTTTAAAAAAATGAAACAGTGAATATCCATTTGTCTCTATAGTTATTTTTTTATACATGTCATTACAGCCTGATCATCATGATAAAACTAATTCAATTCTTCATTGTACTTCATAGGCTTTTCCGGATGCCCATGAAAAGTATCCAAAACTGTCAAAGAGATTACCATCCATTGTGGTAGAGCCCTCTGAAGTGGGGGATGTTGAAAGTGGAGAGCTTCGTTGGCCGCCAGAGGATCTGAAATCGATGGAAGACAAGAAGGCTCTCGCTGCTCAGAGATCCTGTGCTCAGCAACACCAGATGGATCTTGAAAGTATGAACATTTTAATAACTTTTACTGGGGGAAACATGTTGAAAAGAGTGTGACATTACCTGTAGTAGCTCACCATAATAATAATACAAAAAATGTTAAACTGATGTATTCTTATTCCTCTGGTGGGATATTCTAATATATCCAGCATAGGCAGACCTGGTCTTTGAATTCCATTAGATCATCCAGTTAATGTTAAATGGCAAAGGATTACATAAGTATAAGACAAACATTTGGCCACCAAGCTACCTGTTCTTTTGACAGAGCACTGTGAGAATCCTGAACAATTCTAAGATCATGCACCCTTTCCTCCTGCAGCTTAACCTTTCGGAAATTTCAGCTTTTATTTACAATTATTCAAACACATTATATTGCTTAGTATAATTTTTGAGATAAAGTAACTTCATATATTATGCTTTTTCATCTGTTTAACAAACTGTAGCTAGGTTAATTATAATTTCTCACGTTTGGCTAACTAGCTAATGGAAGTGACTGCAATCTGAGGTGGAAAAAGGGAGAAGTAGTTTGTTAGTTTTAAGTAAAGCATATATATGAACAACAGAAAATCAACACAGGAACAATTGTTTCTCTCCAGGTGCTTCACCCCACCAAGACATTGGCGATAGTACAAAATGCAGTGAAAGCAGAACTGAGGATGACTAAGGAACTTCATTCAACAAACAGAAGCTGTGGTGGGACCCTAATTGGAAAGCTGGCACATTCCGAAGGCTTGTCAACATGCTCTATTTTAAAACCATAGAAGGTTTTAATTTTAGTTCTATTATTAGATTAGTACATGGCAAGAAATTTAGGGGCTTTAGAACTGCTTCTTTTCAGGCTGGGATTCTTATCATTTCAATTTCCTTTGAGGAAAAATGGAGCACATTAGGTAGTTCTTCCTGGTTCCTTTTGTTAATGCCACAAAGGAAAAATAGAAGCAAAACTATTCATATCAAACACAAAAAATATATCAATTGCAATTAGCACTTGTAAGTGAAATTGCCTGTTAAAGATAAAAGAGCTATCTGGTATTGATACCAAGACACTGGGTTTGTTTGCTATAGAATATATTAAATCAATTAAACCTCTTTTGTTTTAGCCATTTAAAACTAGCACTGTGATATTATGGATAATAGATGTAATATAATGTCACCTTCTAACTTTGTACCTTTTTGTATAGAAATGCAAGTTTCACTTTTAAATCTGGATTAAATGAAGAATTTAGGACTGCCTTTTTGTGGTGCACAGCAGGGATCTGTACTTATCCCTTATCTCTTTTTTCTGTGCAAATTCAAGTGAACCAGCTTTTTATTAACACTGCATTTGAAAGAAAATGAGTTAACATTTAAGGAATTCTTTACCAATGTACATTTTGAATGGAAATAGCTATTCATTATTGTTTGTGAACTGAGTTAGATTTGTGTAACTTCAGCAGCCTTTTCTATTGTTTGTGCAATAATTTGTGACCCAAATGCTAACCTGGTTTAATTGAGCCTGTTTCAAAAGGGAAAAAGAGAACACTGCTTATGTCATTGCTGTTTTAGGACATTTCCAAGGCATTTGTATATAGACTCTGCTGAAATTTTTATCTATACTTTTGGATCAAAGACTAGAAAGAAATGGCCAGAATAGACATCAGATGCATTTTTATGTAATTAATGATGTCCTTCAGACCATCTGCTTTATTTGCATTATTTAATCTACTGTAGGCTTTTGCCCAGGGAGGGTCTTATGTAGGACCTCACGGTAGCAGTGAATAGGATCAAATTGATACAGCAGTTATTCCCAAGAGTGCTTTCCAATGCTTTAACTTCAATGTGGTCACCAAAATACAATCTCCAGAACTGGGTAGAAGTCATGACAAAGTGATATGATGAAGCGAAGCGATATTTGTATGGTATTGATTTCAAGATGAAGTCTACTTGACTTGATTCTTGTATTTTGATGTCTTAGGATGAGTTTTCACTATTTTATCACAAAGAAAGTTTTCTTTCTGTAAGGAATTAAATTGAAATAAAGCTCTCCAGGGGGAAGAGATGCTAAAGTACATTTTATGTGTATATGGTAGTAATCATAGCTCAGCTTATGAAAACAATATTGGGATGGGTGGGAATGATAAATGTTCACTCGTGACTTATATAAATAATCATTATTATTATGAGCATCAGCCTTAATGTGCTTGAAAACCAGCTAAGGTAATTTTTAGAAGTATTCAATTTTTTAAATTTTATTTTCTTAATATGGGGTTCATGCTTTATTTTAAAAGTGTCTACCAATCTTAGATTAACAGACTGAAGTCTGTGTGGGCATAAAAAGTTCTAATAAGGATTGGTCTAGAAATATGTGTGCGTAGGAAATTACAGAGATGACCTCAGAAAAGCAATGTGGCATTTAGCAAAACATGAATTTAGTCCCAGAAAGGAATAAAACGTTAGAAAAAAACTTAAACTAACTCTGCCTTAATTCTCTTATAAGAAAGGAAGGGGAAAAAAAACATTGGGCTTTCAGGATTGATAGGTCAGGTCAGGAAACAGATACCACAGAAAATTCTAGAATGCTACTTGACTGGTATGAACTATAATAGCCGAATCTTGAAAGCTTCTTCCTTTCCTGGGCTTCATTCATGTTAACTAATTGAGGTGTTCCTTCTCCAAGGTCATCTCTGTGTCTCTCTCCAGTGTAACAGGAAAGATTTTATAGTATTCTGTTCTTTAGAGGGATAAAGTAGCCTTCTGCTAAGTTAAATCTTGTGAAATTTTATAAGGGGAATTCTGTGTTTATGGAGTAAAGCTGAAGCTTTAACTTCAGTTACTCTTCTACACTTATTCACTCAACCCACTTCTTCTATCTGTCCCCACTTACAATTCTTGAAAAATGAAAATGAAAACACTTATTCTCCCTCATTCCACAAAAATGTCCTAAATGTACATCTACTGTTTTTTAAGAAAAAGAGAATTTAAATTTGATTGTAAACTTCCACTGTTATGACTGCTCTTCAGATCATATACCAGTCTCACTTCTAAAATGAGTAACAATTCCAAATTTTGTTATAATGAATGAAATTGGTTAGGTTTGGTCCCAAAATGGGATTTGCAAACATGTTTCATATATATATTATCCTTGATATTTTCTTTTTAGGGTCCTTTTCACTGCATGAGGATCACTACCAGTATAATGAAAAATATTTTAATAGGATCGTTCTATATATATTCTTAGTAACCAAATTTTAATATATTTATTTAAAAACTGTTGTGTAACAGTAGCAGTAAGGTGGAAGTATACAACTTTTTCTTGGACAAAGTGAGCACAATGCAGTTTATGTATGAAAGGTAATTCATTATTTTGGGCGCTAGGTGGCTGGTGCTGGTTCCATCATGTAGGGTTGCTACGTTGGAGAGGTTATATTTCCAATATAGGATAAGAGACTCAACTTGGTTTAATGTTTAATGCATCAAAGTAGAAATCAAGAGTCCCACCTTAGGCACAAAGCCAGCTGGGTGACCTTAGGCCAGTCTCCTTGCCAAGAAACCTGCAGGGATATATCCAGGCAGTCGCCAAGAACCAACACTGACTGGAAGGCACAAAAATAAAATAATTAAAATGGATAGAATGTGTCCTGTTATGATGGATTTTATTTTTTAAAAAAACTGAAGTCATAGTCTTATCACCAAGTGATCTTTTTGTTGACCGACTTAAATTTAGCCCACCTCAGGTCTGGTGAAAAACAAAACCAAACCTAGAAGTCATAAACCCCATTTAGCAATTCTCTCTTATATAGTCTGCCAAATGCTTTGAATACAAATTATGCAGAATATGATAACTAACATACTGCTTTATAGCACTCTCTAAGTGGTTTAAAGAGTCAGCATATTGCCCCCAACAATCTGGGTCCTCATTTTACCAACCTCAGAAGGATGGAAGGCTGACTCAACCTTGAGCCGGACAGGATCAAACTGCTGGCAGTTGGCAGAATTAGCCTGCAATACTGCATTCTAACCACTGCGCCACCTGCGCAGTGCACACTGGGGCTCCTATCTGATCCTTAGCTCAAATTAGTTTGTGAGCATTGTATTTGCAAGAAAATCTAGTGAGGTTTTACTCAAAAGTGAATATATGTAGGAATATAACTTAATTCCAACTGTTCTCAACAGTACTTAATGTAGTCTTGATAAAGAGCTGAATATAAATTTCAGAATACTTTGTTACTTAAAATGAAGGGCTGGGTGACAATCCTCCAGCATTTTTCATCTGCCTCCAAAGCCACCTGCATCATTTCTTTTTGGAACTCACATTCATGCTATTGTGTATAGGCTCAGATTGCATTGTGCAGCTCTAAATGTCTTCAAGGTGACACAATTTATACAGAATGCTAGGATATAGGCTGATGCAATGAAATGGTAAGACATTTGGCATAGCAGAAGGAAGTATTTCTTTGTAGAGTGCATGACTCAAAGATCTGGAAATGATGTTTAACTTGGACAGATTTAAAAAAGGAATAGACAAATTCATGGAGAATAGGGTAATGAATGTCGACTAATCATGATGGCTATATAATCATCAGAATCAGAGAGAGCATTTTTCAGTAACAGTTGCTTAGAAGCCCAAATGAGAGGATGATATTGTGTTCGTGTCTTGGTTGTGGACTAATCATAAGCACCTCCATGCTGCTGATCAAGATAGACTGTTGGTTTGCTCCAGCTTCGCTTTTCTGATCGTATGCTAAATGTAAATGCTTTAATTACATTTTGTTAAGTAGCATTTAATTTGAAGAGAGGTAAATTTTATAAATTAATGAGAAAGGAAAGTGATAAAACCTTTTCATGAATACAAATGTTGTATTCAATGATGCATAATCACATATATGACATTACTTTATCTGTATACCAGAGTATTGTCCTGCCTACTAAACTTAACTGATTGTTTCTGTATTTCCTTTGTTTTGGATGAAATGCTTTGTAGGAAGAGGGAAACACTCAGAATAGTTGGTCATATTTTTTTAGACTTTTAAAAACAAGATGTGGATAAAGATTTGATGGACTATAATATATTGTTGGATTCTGCACCTTTGTAACTTTCTTTTCTTTTTGTAAATTGCCATCTGTGTATAAACTCCAATAATGCTATGTCTTGCAAATGTAATTAAATCAATTAAAAGCCTACATGGACCTAATTTGGTAAACTAGTATATCAAATATTTATTTTAAAATGAGTTTCCAATTTGACAAGCAAAGTTTCCTCTACTGTCAAAAGCTACATTGGTGAAGATATAAGAAACCTATAATATTCCTGTAATAAAGGTCAGTGATGGAAAGTGTGTAGCTTAAATATCCAGATATATGCTATTTTCATTCAGTTCTGCCTGAATGATGATGAAAATATTTACAGCCCAACGTATAGATTATTTTTATAAAATAATACAGGATTTGATCTATTGCTCCTAATGCAATACTGAAAAACAATGTCCTTGCAGATTAGATCAAAGGGAAAAAAGTGAGATTGCCATAGGTGTATATTACAAGCCATCCAATCAATCAGAAGAAATAGATGAACTCTTTGCCAACCAGTTAACAAATGTATGTAGGAAGCATATCACAGTAGTAATGGGAGACTTCAACTATCCAGATATCAACTGGGAGACAAACTCTGCAGTGAGTGGGAAATCAAACAGATTCCTAACCAACCTAGCCGACAACT